ACTGAGGCGGGTAAATATTCATATATTCATCTCTGCCCAGTTGCTTTTTTTTGATCGATTGTAATTTCAAAATGAATATTGATTATTCACCCACCCACCCCAATAAGATGCCTCCATGTCTCTTTCTCTTGGAGATGTGTGCTGCACAATAAGTAACCACAATTTGAATTAATCCCGTGTCGCAAAGATTTTAAAATTCTTAAGTTTTTTCTAGAATGGATTTCGTAGAAGCCGACATGATTCATTCACAGACTCCATTCTACATCGTGAAGAACCTTATCACGAACCTTTTACAACTCGAAGGATGCAAATCGACAAGTGAGAGAGAGGCGAAAATACTGGCTTGTATTGATAACGAGGATTTGAAATGTGAATTATGTCTTCTTAATGAACTTCTGGGCACACATGTAAGTACATATTTCTCTCTCATGATGTCACGTGCGGGTTTTCGAGCGCCAAATTAGTGAGAATCACGTGTTCAACTACATATAAAATTTGTTCAGACACCCCATAATGTAGGAAAGGATTGTTACCCAGTTTTTTTCACCTAGGCACCGGGTCACGTGAAACTTATCCATATGGATGATACCACGGTTGCGAGACGTCAACATTTGTTCTTATTTGAAATTATACATCAGGTGAAGAATTTGATATTGACTAGGTGTTTTGAAGTTATTTTGAAATTTAAAGATGGAGAAATATTCGACTGGATCGAAACCTATAATGCACTGTCTAAAATCAGAAAATGTATAATCCACTATCTTTATCTTCATCAGAAAGCCTACAATCCATTGTCTAAGGCTTAATTAATCTTCTATGTAATAATGATTGTTTTGTGACAAGAGTGCTAAGAAAATTATGACATTCATTTTTACACCAGCCTGATCATAGTAAAACACATGGTCTGCAAGATCTTGTGCAAAACTTGACTTAGCAATGTGTGCATGCAAGAATAATGAAGGATTCAAAGCAGAAGGCGAACTATTTTAAGTAAACGGTGAAACAATTCGTGTGAACATCATTTGAATGATCCGTATAGTCCATAAAATGCATAAACTTTGCTTCAATAATGATAAGTAACGTGGCAAGATTATGAAGGGACATGGATACAAGATTGTGAATAGGATAACATTGGTTAGGAGGGACATGGATACGAAATGACACGACAGACTGGGATAGAAAAGGATAGGGTCAGGAACGTTGATGTAAAGATTATTTTTGTTTGTTGATAGATAATTGTGAAGGAGCCATGTGTTTTTGCAGTGGAAAATGGCCATTATATTGACAACGAATCTTGGAATTTTCTCGAAGATCTAGTGAGCGATTCACATGCAGTGTTAGTGGTGACACTTAAGCCTCTAAATACAATTTCAAATTTCCCTAAATCTGCAAAGAGATTGATATCTGGTGATCAGACTGTCAAGGTCTCATTAGGTATGTTTGTGTTAAGATAACTCCTTACCAAAATACTTGATTAGGGAAGATTGAGTTGTAGAAAATGTATGATGTATCGATATAAATTAATATTGATATTTAGACCTCACATTTCTCATTTTCACACTGCATATTTCCTATTCAGGAGGGCTGTCTTCGGAGCTTATGATTGACATGGCATGCCAGTTTCTGGATGTCACGTGTATACCACGTGATCTTGAGACTATCATCCGCGAGAAAAGCCATGGCGTTGGGAGCTGGTGCGAGCAGCTAGTCAAAGATATGCTTTCTTCAAACTACATTAAAGTCGTTAAAGATAAGGATGTTGTCGTGTTGAAGGAAAGAAATGTCACTACAGAAACAGAGAACATCAAGGAATCCAACATTATTTCAAGTTCCCAATCAAGTACATCACTTGCTACTGAAGCTGTTAGACAATATTCACATTTCGACACAGTTCCTCCCGTATCTCCAACTTCTAGAACATTTCGTGGCTCTATTTCCAGTGCATCTAGTACATATCGACATTGGTTTTCGAAAAAAAGAAAGAGTATTAACATCATATTAACATCATTAAATACATTTAGACGAACTGCCGTTGCGGCGGTTTCATCAGACGCAGACTTACCAGTGCTTATGGATTCTGAGAAATCACGTAAATCGTTTTCGAAACAGAATCGAAAATCAAGCTCAGTGTACGAGACGACATGCAAATTTGAGGAGGAAAGCGATAGTGACGATGAAATTTTTATGGGTATGGACGCAATACCATTTACAGAGCCTTCGATACCAGAGGTTAGTAGGTCACCGGATTTGCAAAAAAGGCATGCAACGGTACTCAGTCCTATACCAAGCTACTTCCTACCCCATGATTATTTTGTTTATGCAAATCCAAGTGCGTTGGTGCCAGATACACACAATATGTGTATTGTCACGCCTGGACAAGATCTCACAAAAATTCCCGTACCTGAATCTTTGCGTGAAATGGTCATAGCAAGATTTGATCGCTTACCCCCCCTGGAGAAAGTCGTTTTGAAGTGTTCATCGATACTTGGAGATTGTTTTCCAAGTAACTTAGTCGCTGCAATCGTGCCGAAGTCTGCTGCAGCTAATGTAAATCTTGCTTTGTATAATCTTGTTAAGGTATGATTATACTAAATGATCTCTTTTTATACCATGCACTGTAGCATTGCCCTCCCCTCCCCCCCAGACTATTTCTATAAACTTAGTATTTAAGAGATTACAAAGTGAATAACCTCCTTCCACAGAAGCTGATCCTCTGCATTACTTTATTGATATTAACATGTAATTAGCTACATTATTGGCTTTTGCTGTATGCTTCCTCCTTATACTCATGTCTATCGATCGTTATTTTGGCTGAAGTCGACTAGAAAATGTGTATTATTATCGTTTGCCCATTGAGCACAGATTTTTTCTCAAAAATTAATCCACTGACTTTTGTGAACAGGAGAGAATACTGGAGTGCGCTACTTTAGCTCATCAACTTCAGGATGCTCACAATCACCATGGTTTTCTTGATGCAACAATTGCCCACACACAGCATTACCACCATCACCATCATCACCATATCACGAGTAGTGTCTCTGATATGGTACCTTGTGGTTGTTATGTTGACCAGGGAACAAAAGTAGTGAACTTGACAAAATATCTTGTTAACAACAAATTGAAGAAGATGTGTCTTTACTTGAAGTTTGCAAACGATTGTGTGCAAGAAACAACGTATGCCTTATGGCTGAAGAGACAGAGAGAAGGACTTCATCAAAAGACTGCAATGTTTCTCGAATCTCAACCTCACAAATGTCGATCTTGTGGTGGCGCTTCTTCCATTCCGTATTTTCAGAAAACGGATTGCCGCAGTAGTGTAGTTCAAACAACCATTAGTAAGCTCTCTTTTACGTTTTTCCTTTTGTTTTTGCTCTGTCTCATTTCATTTGGTCAGTGAAGTTACTCTGTTGTTGTGGTAGTATTCCAGTGGGTATGTCTATGGGGTTAGTCAGTTAGGGTTATGCTGTGTTTCTCTTGTGTTGGTGTGTGAAGTTAGTCTGAGATGTTAGTCTGAGATGTTTGTGTGTGACGCTAGTGTGTGATTTTAGTCTGTGGTGTTGATGTTGGTCTGTGGTGTTATTATGTGCTGTTGGTGTGAGATGTTAGTCTGTTGAGTTGTATGTTGCGATATTATTCTTGAGTTTATTTCGTGATGTTAATCTTTGATGTTAGTCTATCGTGTTAGTATGTGATGTTTGTGTGATGTTAAAACAATTATTCTTTGTCCATTAAATTTAGGATGAAAATTGATGAAGTAATTTCACCGTTCTTATCTTTCCATTTCTTTAAAGGTTCTGGTCGTACTGCTGCTCACTTGAATTTACATGCAACAAAGCGTCGCTCCAGTCGTCTTATACGTCAGAAGATTCAGGATCAAGGCGCCTTTATAAGTCGAGTGAACAATCGCGAGGCGATCTCAGGTAATGATGCCATTGACAACGCCGTTACTTCTTCACGTAGAACTCATACAATTGGCGATAGTGTCATGATGATGAATGTGAATTTGAAAGCTTCTCACGAGAGAGAACTTAGAGATATGAGGAACATGCATCATCATTCAGGTAGTTATTGTGTACTGCAGGAATATCATTTAGTCCTCTCTCACGTCAGGAATGTGATAAAGCTTATTAATGAGGTTGTTCTTTGAACGTGTGCTAATACAAGGCACATGTCTGCCTAATTTCTTTTAAATGTCAGATGACTTAGATGGGTGAATTTTTTCAATTTTTAAGCACTTACTTTCAACCTAGTAAATACGCCAGCCATACAAGGAGTCGGTTCTGTGTTTTTTCGTAAAATTGAATTATCAGTAGCGTTGTATTAGGTGTTATTCTCTCTTTGTGTTATGTAGCAACTCCGATGTTAGTGACGGCAGGCGAGGTTGATTGCATACCAGAAATCACTAAGAAAAGTGATAAAACGAAAAGTCCCGATCGACTCTTTTATAAATTTGTTGGACAAGCACAAAGTAGTTCTAACGTGAATTCCACCAGAGGTGTGGCTCAAGAAACATTTCATAGAAAGTAAATGTTATTATTTTTTATACTTTTTTTTTTGTTGTTGTAGTAAGTGACGCTGATGCAGTGGAAGTTGTGATTGATCCAACATATGACGCTCCTAATGACGACCTGTCTGATTGTGAATGTGCTGATATTTTAGCTTCCGTGTTTCCTCAACTTGTTCGTCATTGGAATGCCGCTGGCAATAAATTGAAAACATTTCGGTAAGTCATATAGACAAATAATTTTGTCATTATTATCAATGAAATATTAACTTTACTTTATCGTGCGTGTTACTGATGACTTTTATTTGCACATTTGTTGACGTTTGTAAATGCAATTATTTCCAAAAAGTTCATGTCGAGCTTTATGCTGTGTTTAAAACTGGTCAAATTTTACCTATTTTAAATTGCTCATAAATCACAGTCTTCTGCATGACATTACCGATATCGTTTTTGTTGTTGTTTTTCAACTAAGCTTTATTTGCTTGCCAACTACCATCGTATAGATATTTGACGGAATCTGGCGCTGCCGCGCTCGCAACATTTAACAATATGCAAGCTTTGTCGTATTTACATGACGTTCATCGCATGTTAGAAGAGGAAGGAGAGACTTTTTTAGCAAATATTGAAGAGAAAGCAAGAGTTGAAAGCCTTATAGGACAGGTAGTTATCACGTAGATTTATTGGTAAGTTATTGTATGGAAAAATTTGTTTTCTTCGAAATACCCACTATCTTGACTTGCACGTGTTAAAAGTAACGACAATGTACATACAACACTCGTTATCACCTTTCACTTTCACTTTCTACAACTGGTTGTAAATAATAAAGTTGTAGCACGTGAGAGTCACGCGTTATTATGTGAAGAGCAACGTAAAGTACAGTGATAGAAAATAAATTCTCGTAGTTCTATAAGGATTTGCGTTAAAGAAAATTTTAACAACATGGTTTAGATAAAATTTTTCCTTCACAAATTCTAACTACGTTTTCAAGGCTCTATTTGGCATGAATCGTCTTGATGCGGCGTTAGAACATTTTCATGCAGCGCTCAAAGAACTTGGTGTAAAGCAGCCAGTCTCTCCACTGAAGATTTGGTGGCGTCTGCGAATTGAACTAATGAAACAGGCAGCAAGTTATTTGTCAATAAGAAAAGTTGTGCCAACTGTAAGGTAAAAGTATCCTAATAAAGTTATCATCGATAGGAAAAACGCCTTTATAAAATGGTTAGTAAGCTCGTTTAATGTTGAAAGATAGATTGGGAAACTCCTGATATTAAAGTCAAAACTCGACACAAAGTCAAAACAACAAAACGTGGAGAAGAACATCAAACTATGTTGAATGTTGTACTGTTCATTTTTGTCAATACATCGACTTTTTCATAGCGACCACGAAGGCATTCTGTTGGAACGAGCACGTTGTTTTTTTCACATCTCTCATGTTTACCATGCTGAAGGCAGGTACAAAGAGTCATTTATGGCTGCGCTACAGGAACTCAACACCGCTGAAAGACTTGAAAATAATTTTCACGAGGTTTGTTCATACAGCTTGGAGCATGCTTTTTTAGTAGATGATTAAAATCCTTTGTTAAAGGACTAAGTTTTCTCCATACAGTTATTAACTGCCTATACATCAGTGATTGAATGCGCCGGTCTTGTATCATGGACACGTTGTGCAGAAAAGTTCGAAGAAATAGCCATGAATAGGTATTGCTATTACTTCATGTTGTTTTCATAAGTAAGCAAGTTCAGAAACATTTTACATCGTTATAGATGCAAACCTGGTGATTCGTCGTTATTTCTTGATGATTTGGTCAATGTCTCAAACTTTTACTCTGTTGTGTGTACGTTTCAACTTAGTCAAGGACATCTACAAAATGCTGTGGCCTCAGGTACACAGAATTAAGTGTAGCTACTACACACTCCTTATCCATTTCCTTATTCATAAGAAAAGTTACTTACATCTCCTTAGATTTTGATAGAGACGTGATTGGCTGATCAATCACTTTCTACCCTATCTACGTTACTTTTTAAATATTTCAGATTTCAATATACGAAATTATTTCATTTTATTTCTTTCGTCTATATTTTGAAGGATTTCGTGCTTTATGTCTGGCGAATAAATCGAACGATCACATGCTAAAGATCAACTGTACTCCATCACTTTCACAGTGTTTGATTTTAATGTCTCGGTTAGTAGAAAATTGTATACCGTTTATCATTGATATATTTATTAAGCAAGGATTTGGTAGGGAAAAAATTTATATTACGGAAATTGACGGAATTCGTGATTTCAATGTATATAATGTATACGGTGTCAGTTTGGCACAATAATTACAAAATCCATTGATTACGTTGTAAAAAAAGCCATGCGAGAATAAAATTTTTCTAAATTTGATGAACACACCTCTTTTCTTTTCAAGAAATTTAATTGAGTAAAAATTTTTAGATATTTCAAATTCCTGGCGAGAGGTTATTGTTTAGTTGTTCACTGACAATGAATAAAGACTATTTTATGTAGGATCGAGGAATGTCATAATGTGTTGAAAGAATTAAATTATGCTGCTCGTGAGATGGACAATCTTCATGGTCGAGCATTATTTTTTTGTAATTGTTTTGATTTGATCTTGGAGACAGGTGTGGTTCTATTTTGTTGGTTACTCTTAAATAACTATTTATTATCGAAGTTGTTCTTAAATTTCAGGTCACATTCTGGAAAGCGTGGAAGATTGTATAATATTCACAATTCAAATTTCCGCCGATCCTCGTCTTACTTGGGATTTGATTGTAAAATACTATCTCAATGCTTCCTTGCTTCTTTGGTAAGGAAATACAAATTTTATGTGAAAGAATAGGGAGGTGTATTTATAGTAAATTCTTTCATATTTTTGCTAACTAGGCATGCGCGTTGCGAAGAGTGGGAAGAAGCAGAGAAAGTGCTTAGTGCACTTAAAGGTGATTTATTGTATAACATTCACGCCGTGTTTCTATAACTGTACGAAAAAATGCTTTCTATTCAGTCGTTTATTATAGAGCCTTTGAAATATAATGTTAAAAAATAAATTGATTAATTTCAATTACATATTGTATATAATTTTACCTTTTAAATTTCTAACGCAACCTGCGCGAAAATTACTGTGTTTCTATACAATTATAGAAAGATGGGTTTTGATCACACTTTTGGCCTTATAAAGGCGCACATTAATTATACTGTTTCTGTCCTTTAAAGCCATCGAGCCAGCTGCATTTGAGGTTGTAATGGCAGCGAGAGGGTTCGTAAAAGTTGTCGAGTGTCAATTGTTAATGTACCGGAAAAACGCCAAAACAAAGTCATTCGTAGCAGCTGCAGAAAGGTTAGTAAGAACTGAAACTACGCTAGAATACCACGTGTTTTAGAAATGATTTAAGTGGCCATATGAAGCATTATAGGTTTGGTGGTCAGTATGATATCATTACATGCATTGGTGTAAAACATTATCAATACAACTAACTTTTATTACTCCTAGGGTTTAAAACTTTTATCTCGAATATGCAAACGTTTTCCTGTTATAAGACCAAGATATTACCATCTTAAGGCGCATTACTTCATGTTACGTTGTAAGTTCAAAAAAGCAAGATCAAGTTTGCTGCCAAAATGCATCGACATAAGCACTAGAATGGGTACTGTCATGGAGACAGAATGGGCTATTCTTAGTAAACATGAGTGGTTCGACAAGAAGCAAACTCATACGAACTTTATTTACGATGGACTAACCAAGTTTCCACTTTCTGTGGTAACCGAACCTTCGTAGTCAAACATACCGTGTCTTTTCAATGTTCCTTTGGGCATTCATAGATTTGTTAACTTGTAGGACAATGTTTTTAGTGGCAAAAATTGTTTTCTTTGATGTTTATTGAGGTTGATGTTCGGTTTTATTGAGATAAGGCATTACTTTTTCTTAGACATGAACAGAATTATCTTGACTTTGATTGATGTAATGTTGAAATTGTGTTTTTTTAGTGATGAATGAAAATTATATACATATTTTAATGTCATTTGATGTTTGCGAGCTGGCACCACCTGGTACCATTTATATATTTATCAAAAGAAGTCAATGTGAGTAAAACCCAACTTTCATAAGGGAAAATGATGCTGATTATATGCACTTCAATTTGTGAATTACTGGGAAATCTGTCCTACGCTAAAACTAAATAACAAGTTTTAAATGAGTTCGCCCGATGCTAGATAATATTTCCAACGACTTAGTTAATACATCCGAGTCTCCATTATTGTCTACTAGAATGTCATGATTTTCATGATCAAGACCACATTCAGATTCTGCATCATCTACACCACTAACAAACGTCCAGCCCCGTTTTAATCTAGTTTCTTCGCTCGCTACAACTCTGATATGTATGGTTTTATATTTGCACTTGAAATACTCCAAATCAGTGATGCGCCTTGCATCGGATACAATCCACAAAGGCTTTTTCGCGTTCATTGTCGTAAGATCACAAAAGAAAGCAGGATCTTCGGTTCTCTTTGCTTCACCCCATGCTACCATTGCGCTACGGTATTGTTCTTTATAAGATGAGGAATCTAAAAGTTTTTCATAGTCCAAGTTATGCTCCAGGGCATACTGTCTTTTTAAGGGGCCTGACAACCGCAGTACTTCACAATTTTCCATTCCAATCATCTTTTCTAGCTTGCCAACAACATAATCTTTACCAGATTTTCTTTTTCCACTGAATAAGAGCACTAGAACAGGACTTGCCCGATCAACCATATTGAACCTGTCAATATCCTTAACTTGATTTCATCCATCAAAATGATGTGTTGGGGGCTTTTTTACCTTCTTTTACCCATTGGCTTTACGGTTCTCATACCTCAGCGAAGAGCTGAAAGTAAAATCTGTAAAATGGCTACTACTAACAAGCTTTCACAGTTTCTTATATCAAATGACGTACCATTCAACTTCTTAGAGTGTAGAAAAGCGTTTGATGGGTTAACTAACAAGGAAAAGTTATATTCACATTATCTGTGTTGTGCCTCCTGGCATGGTGCTCTTATTTGTCTATTGCAAACTTCTCCTGAATCTCCTGGATTATTTCTGCTGTTTCAAAAGATTTTCTCCGCAGAAAGTGTTGAAAGTTTTTGTAAATCAATGCAGGCTGGTGAACGGGGATTATCAGACATTCAGATTAAGGTACATTCTATAACTTCGACTAAGTAGTCGAAGTTATATAAAAACAAGAACTTTACTGAAGATTGCCTCGTTTAACACATTATAATGGTTTATATTTTAGAGCTTCCTCACGTATGTTGCCAGTTTCTATGGTAATATGGGAAACTACAAATCATTTGGGGACACCAAATTTATCCCAGCATTAGATAAGGTGAGTTGTTTATTGACTTCATTCTTCCCAGGTTACTTGTTCTTTGTGACAACTTTTTTTGCCTTGTTTGTGCAAATTGATTTTTTCAAGGATGTTTTCTATTATGGAATCACTTGCAGTGCAGCATACAAAAAAGAAGAAGACAAGGTCAAGGAACTTTGTATGGCTGTTCTCAATGACATGTATAGTTTAAGTGATAGAAGGAAGCAATTGGGACTTGGAGAACAGGTCAGCTATATTAAAGAAAAATACTGTGTTTAGCTTTTGGAGAGTGGAAAAACTGCATGTTTTCTACAACTTAAAATAAAATCTAAGTAGCCTCATGTATATCAGTCATAGTTATTTTAATTACATTTTCAAAATTTTCTAGCGGATGAAATTCATTGAAATGTCATTTTTTAGGGATTATCAACATACTACTCAAGCAATGTCAGAAGGGAGGATGTAGTTTTTATTCAAGATTTTATGAAGGAAAAGGTTCTTACTAATTCTTTTCATGAGCTTGCAAAATATACATTTTATTCACTCTAACTAGAAGCATATTTTTGCCTAGGAAATTAGTCCATATAATACTCGACTTTTTAAAGTGGAAAAAGGTGACAGTGTGGTTTATGAACTTCGTTTGGCTTCAGTGGCTACCACAGGTTTATATTTATATAATATTATTTCATCTTGTTTTCTTAATCATTTCATGAGTGCTTGCAATGTTTTATATTAGCTGTAGCAATGGTTGGACCTCTTGGTCAAGAGGACATAGTACAAACCTGGCTTGGAGACCATATCTACAAAGATGCTACTATCAAAATAAGCCGAGGAGATTACTCTGGTATTCTAAAGAATATGGTAGAATGTTTGATTGAAGCTGAGGTAGGACTTGTTATTTAATAAAAGTGCTTTCAATAAATGTTTAAAATATTTGACATAAGGTTTTCATCATTCTAAGCATTAGTGTTTGTAGTGATTGATGTATAATTATAATTTTGATGTTCAAACATTTAATAGAAATATTCAGCAAACAACAATCAATCATCAATGCTTAACGATTACATTCATTGCTTTAATACTGGTTCAATAAAAGCTCACAAGAATGGTTCACGACATTGGATACGAGATAAAGGGCCTGTGGTTGAAAGGTTAGGGATCATGAAACATTAATTGTATTATATTTTGTATAATTTTTTGTTCATTGTATGTTTATTTATCATTTTTGTTAACATTTTGTAGTTACATAGGATTTATAGAGAGTTATCGAGATCCATTTGGTGTTCGTGGAGAATTTGAAGGTATTGCATGTATGAATCATGGTCTACTTGTTTCTGTGTGGCAATAACTGCCCTCCCAACTAGATTGAGATGACTTTTGCATTAACTTTCACACTTTTGCTTTCAATGTCAATTAAACAGACAATGAAACTATTTTAGGAAGACTCACTCTTTGAATATAACAGGATTTGTTGCAATGGTGAATAAAGAAATGAGCAAAAAATTTGCGGATTTGGTTAATACTGCCACAGATCTGTTGCCATTACTACCTTGGCCACAAGAGTATGAAAAGGATCAGTTTCTTCGACCGGACTTCACATCTCTAGATGTTCTTGGCTTTGGTTCCAGTGGAGTGCCTGCTGGTATCAATATTCCCAATTGTAAGTGGAAATGTGTAAAATATGTATAATATTAATGAAGAATGACATTGTATGATGTTAACTATGAATGTGGTATAATATTAATGAAAAATGACATTGTATGATGTTAACTATGAATGTGGTATAATATTAATGAAAAATGACATTGTATGATGTTAACTATGAATGTGGTGTAATATTAATGAAGAATGACATTGTATGATGTTAACTATGAATGTGGTGTAATATTAGCGAAAATAATGTAGTATTATGTTGATGTTTGAATGAAGTATGGCAGCAATAATAGCTTAGCTGGAACATCAAACTCCATAGAAGCTGACACTTTGTGTTGATAATCTCTGATCAAGTTCCATATACATGTAAAGTCATTTGAGTATTATTTATCAGACAAATACTATTTTTGTTTCCTTTCAGATGATGATATCAGACAAACAGAAGGATTTAAAAATGTTTCATTAGGCAATGTTTTGGCATCACGAAATAGCAATGAAAAAGTGACATTTGTTGCAAATGAGTATCAAGTTAGTTCAGATAATAATATAATATTCAGTATCTTATTTACAAAGTAAGAGAAAATAGTTAAGGATCACTAAGCCCACTAACTACAGATTTTAACAGTTGTCTATCAGCATATATACTCCTGTTTCTCATATATACGTCCTTCCATTTTTCAGGAGTTATTCAACAATTTAAAGGGACAGTCTTTCGAAGTGCAGGTTGGCCTTCATGAACTGTTGGGGCACGGTAGTGGTAAGCTATTTCAGTTGGTGAGTGGCTTAAATCCAGCTTTTACCAAATCATTTTAATGCAAGGATTGTAATGGTCTTTGCAATGATGATGTTATTTTTATCATGACTTTCATGTGATTAAAGTATCTTAGCTATCATGTATGCTAAAACATTTAGAAGAATGACATCTTTTTCTATCCTGTATAGAATGAAGATGGAAGCTATAACTTTGATAGAGAAACAATAATACCTGATACCAGGACAGTAGTGGATAGTTGGTACCGTCCAAGGGAAACATGGGATATTGTATTTCAGGAGATTGCATCCACATACGAAGAATGTCGTGCAGAGTGTGTTGGATTGTATCTTTGTTTGAACAAAAAAGTATTGAGGTGATTATGAAATATCATCTTTGATTGTGGGACAGCAATGGATAGGTTGGTACGGACCTATGAAAACCAGAGGGAAAAAATAGAAGTTGTTTATAAAATATCTTTGAAAAGGAAAATCTGTCAAATTTTTTTAATGAACTTTACTGTGAGTTTTCTAGTTTATTTGGTCATTGTGACCTTTACATATGTTTACTTGGTTTTCTAGTATATTTGGTCACAAAGGCAAATATGCAAATGACATTTCGTACATTAATTGGTTGAACATGGTTCGTGCAGGCTTGATTGCTTTGGAATTTTACACCCCAGAAAATAAAAAATGGCGACAGGTTAGCAATTTATCACTCATTAATAAAGTGACAGGAAGTATAAGTATTTTTGCTATCATCATTCACTGTCATGGTTTTGGTCTTTTGGTGCACATACTGAAACAATCTGTAATTATTTTGATCATCGTTACCACCAACTGTTAACATTGATATATTATGTCATGTATTTAGGCTCATATGCAAGCAAGATATGTGATCCTTCAAGTTTTACTTGAAGCTGGAGAGAATCTTGTTGCAATCAACAAAATTGTTGATGAAGATGGCAAAGAAACACTTAAAATTCAACTAGATGAAGCAAAAATACCAACAGTTGGAAAAGATGCCATTGGTAAATTTCTTCAGCGACTACAGGTTTGTTTCTGTTGGGATATTTTCCTAAAGATGGCTTTCATCATCTTCCTTCTATTGCTTCCTTAGATTTACAAGTCAACTGCAGATTATGAAAAGGGAAAAAAGATGTACTGTGGCTATTCTCAAGTCAATGAGAAATTTCTTGACCTGCGTCGGATTGTCTTAATGAATAAACAACCTCGACGAATGTTGGTGCAAGCCAACACAACCCTTCAAGGTAAAACTTCCATGTTGTTGTAAAGCAGTAATATCCATTTCTAACCTTTGACACAATGATGATTGTTGATTTCATTAGACAATGACATCATACTTCATGAATATGAACCGAGTGCTGTTGGCATGATCACATCATTTAGAGAGAGATATCCTTCCCAGCATTCAGTTCTGGAAAAGCTATGGAAGGATGATGCCATTTTTCATCAATACAAGACATGAAAATTGACAATGACAAAATTAATGATTTTAGTAAAAAATACTTAAATTATCTTAAAAGATCCTTGCTATTTACAGTATCGGTCAGCCTTCATTTTTTCTCTTCTATCAAGCAATTTCTCATGAATATTGCCCTGTCTCTTAGCTTTCTTAAGGTCAGAAACTGCTTCATCACTAATGCGCAATCTCCTGTCTTGGAAGCTTTGAAATTTCTTCACATAAGACAATTCGCATCCTTTCATATCCTGTATGTCTTCAGGCAAATCACTTTTTATTTGAGTACTACAAAGAAAGATAAGCATTTTCAATTTTACAAGATTAAGATTCAATATCATCATGCATAATCACTCACAATCTTTCTGCATCAGTTCTAAGGTAAAACTGTGCATTCTTGTCTGCAGTTTTTTGTGATGCTTTAAGGTTCCCATTGTCCGTCATTGATATGAAACAACCATTATAGGTCTGAAGTGCAGCTTTGTCATTCTCAAAAACAAGCTCAATCTGTTGTTGAGGACCAATTGCTTCAGCTGTACCAGTAACATCTCCCATCATGTTTACTGATAAGTATCGACCTATAAAAGTAAGTTATTTCATTTCTTTAGTTCATTTGTCAATCAATGTGAATCTCAAAGCAATCTCTCTGAATATATGTAAAGGCTAAATTGCCGGGTTCATAACCACTCGTTTCTAGTATTTCCATGTATATAATAATTCTCACAGCTCACCATATCCAGATTTCAAAGCAATCTTGTTCTGTGAAGTTTTACAGCTGTAAATATTTCTACTGGAGCAGGGGAATTCACGGAATCTCTTAGTTCCCCCATAACATAGCCACCAGTGTCTGTAGCTTCAATATAACTCCCGCTATCACAACTTTGAAGAGCAATTGTTGAAGCCAGCTGATGATAATTAGTAAGTTTCCACCAACCACCATGTCTTAAAGCATCAACATCTTCGTTTTTGTTGTCATCGTTTTCTCTTTTCCTCTTCTTAGTTTTGTTCTTTTTGGTTGATTTTTCTCCTTTTAATTTCAATTTTCCACTTTTCACTTGTTGATAAGCCGACATGACGAATTTTGTTTGTAATCCTGATGGATGAATGACAGGAAAAATTTTATTGTTTGTGATTTGTAGGGGGTAGATTATGGGTGAGATGAACATTCAATCAAACAATTTATGAAACAGCCAGTTTGCGTGCCGGGGACTATGCTGTGACTGACACTGTGGCGATTTAGATAAAAACAAACAAGAAAAACCACTGTAGTGAGTGGTGAGATTGTGAGACTAACTCAGCGGAAAACAGAAAAAACTAGCACAGGAACTGCTTGTACAATCACATTTTTTTCCATTGGTCACAAGAATGTCACAATTCACAAGTGACGTAACTGGCTCAGGATTGAAGAATATGAAATAAATTTGATTTCAAAAATGTATCGTTTGGTGTCTATCTTCCGCCAGATAACTGTTGAACCAGTTCTGTTTGCGTTCATGCTATGTACATTTCTTAAGCTACCAGTAACTCAGCAACTAATTTTTCGTAAAACGTGCATAAATCTATACAATAAGTCATTTTGTTCGCACAACCTTACAAGAGGAAGCTGTGGCGACGGCAGTAATGATGCAGAAAACGCCGTACAAAAGTCAACTTCGGAATGGATTTTCTACAACAGTTTTGCCCATTCTATACCATCTATCATCTCGTCTCTTCTTCTTGGTTCGTGGTCTGATAGATTTGGTCGGAAAGTAGCCATTATATTGCCTTTGATTGGTCTATGTATTGAAGGTCTTTCAGGTCTACTAAATGTTGTCTTCTATGAAGCATCGCCTGTACATTTGCTGTATGGTAACATATTATCTGGTATGTGTGGTGGTTTTAGTGCTGTCCTTATGGCACTGTTCTCGTATATTGCAGACATTACAAAAGACAAGAGCAATCGAACCTTAAGAATTGGACTTTTGGAGTCAATGACCTTCATTGGTGGAGCAACTGGTGAATTATTGAGTGGAATATTGATTGAAGGAACAGGATTTATGGCACCTTATATTATCATCTTGACTTTGAGCTTTGTAACAATAGCATATGTTGTATTTGTAATAAAAGAATCATATTTTCCTACAAAGCCATCCCAATGGTTTTCTCTCAAGAATTTTCATGGTAGTTTTGTGGTATGGTATAAAGAAAGGCCTGGAAAGAGCAGACTATATCTTGTCCTCCTATTGGCTTTGGGATTTTTTGTGCCCATATTAAGTAAGTATTGTATGTTGCTATGTGACCATTTCTACAGAATTATCAATAACTTTTATTCTAATGTCAATTTTATGGGTATTTTTTTATTTCTGCAGTTTTTACTGGTACCAATGATGTCGTGATTCTCTTTGTCCTCCGTCGTCCTCTATGTTTTTCATCAAAACTGATAGGTTACTTTCTTGCTGTATCACTTGTGGTTAAAGGTACTGGTGTTTTAGTTGGCATACCAATAATGACCCGCCTTCTAAAACTGTCAGATGCTACCATTGTTTGTGCTGGAATTGTAACCAATATATTAAGTACAGTGTTTATGGCATTCTCTGTTAGACCCTGGCAAGCTTTTCTTGGTATGTTTGTTAAAATATAAGAAATGATTTTTAACTGCAGACAAAGCTACATAATAACATTAAGACCTTGACCTCTTTAGCAATATCTTCTGGGATATTCAATGGGGTCACGATTCCTACTGTTCGGGCCATGATGTCAAAATTAGTTGAAAGTGATGAGCAAGGTAATAAAGAGGATATTTTCACCTTTATGATTTTCATGTTTATATCATATTGAAATGTTTCTTTTAGGAAGTTTATTTGCTGTTACTGCAAGTGTGTCAGCTGTGTCCACACTTGTTGCATCATCAATATTTAACAATTTATACAAGGAAACTGTTTCCACTTTACCTGGACTATGTTTTCTGGTCATGTCTGGAATGTTAGTTTTGCCTCTTGTGCTCATGATGTAAGTTTCATTTGATGAAAATTCCTTTTACGATGAGAATTTCATATTTATCCAAGGTTAGATACAGTAAAGTATTTGCATTGGTGGTGAATGGGCTTGCTTAGTGTTCTAGGTGATGTTATTTGACAATTCTTTTCTCAAAATATTTGTTTGTTTTAATTAGTATTCCTAATATAGATTCATTGATTTTTTTGTTTGTATCAAAGAGCACGAAGAATTCTTTCATGATTATGTTATTCCTTACTGTTGTAATCCATACTTTTATCCGGTGCCTGTTTTTTACTCAACTTCATTGTTCGTTTGTCTATATTTTCTTTAAAGATATTTCCGAATTGTTTTGAACAATACAACGAGTCAACTGAGGGTTAACGACGAAGCTTTATTAGCAGATTCTGAGGAGAGTATTGCTTAACACGGTAAGTCATTTTTTACAACTTTTCATTTCTTTATTTTTGTGAGTAGCCTTTTATATATTGAACTATGTTTGTTAAACTATTTCGTTTTTGTATCCATCTATTTATCATATATATTATGGCTACCCACATGTACGCTTAGTGTGTACCTGTTTTGCTTTCTATCGTACCTTACCACATTCTTGTTTTTCTTGAAGCACTTCTCATCAAACATAACAAACCTTATCTTAACACGAGACTTAAGGCTTGCAAAGAATTACAACTCTTCTCTTAAATTACAATACACTCATTCTACCAGTCTGGTTTGTTGTTTCAATTCATCCTTTTAAAATACGACACCTCTTGCAACTCTGCTTTTGTAAATATCACACTATTTAATTTCTATTGCTTGACTTCTGTTACTTAAAGGGGTAGTCAGACCTTAACACAACTTTCGCTCATATGAAAGTGTATATTGTTCTTACCTCTCTCGCGAAATCCTAGGTTTCCAATTCAAATTTAACTCGAAAAATAATGCCTTAAATGTGTGTATTTTTCGATCGCCATTGTGTACGTGCAAGCGAAGCCGCAGTCCAGCAGCGGTTTTTCGTCGTGACGTCACTGCGCGGTGATCGTTGTCAACATTAGACAAAATATACTAGCAAAAGTAGAAATTACGCATAAGCATATTCATCGTTGCATTTTATTTTCTAAGTTTTTAAATTATTTTGCGCAATGGATACGGATTACTCAAACGATTCCTCTAGTAATTATTCTGGAAGCAGTGTTTCAAACTACGAAGAAATGATTAACGATCAAAACATGATTCAACCATATGCTTATGAGCCGATTGAAACCAGGGATGGCATTTATTCTTTAATCATTTTTTCTTTAATCTTCTTTAATGATTAAAGAAGATTTGAATCAAAACTTAAAATTGTCTTTAATGTTCCTTATTTATGCTCTTACGTCTGAAATAGTGTTTATCCAATGTCACATTAAATTATATTAAATAACAGCATATTTTCTCCGTGGTTCACTTGTACATTCACTATGTAATATGAGGTTGTCTTGATGAGAATACAGAAGTCAAGCAATAGAAATTAAATAGTGTGATATTTACAAAAGCAGAGTTGCAAGAGGTGTCTGTATGGTTTTCAATATCATTCTGTCTGAGGATGACTTTGAAATAAAGTCGAAAATTCACAGTTCACTTCTCGTCTTGTTCTGATTCATATTTTGTAATCTCAGATGCCTTGTTTCTTTGGAATTTGTTTTTTACTCTATTTTTTAATGTGTGTTCGTGTTACAAATATTTGATTTGAAGGAAGAAATTATCCTCGCGTTTGTAATATCTAATTATATCTTAGCTTATAATTTGTTTTCATCTCCGGACTCGTCGATTTAATGTATATCTTTAAAATTTTAGTTGTAAATCTGTTGTGTTTGCTTTGCAGCATATGTGTATGTATGTATGAAGTACTTAAACTAAATGAAGTCATACGCAAAGATATTCAATACGCTTGTTTTATCATCTCATGTATTCATTTTAGATTTTTTTTTAAAACAGAGTGACGCACATTCAATCTTATAATTCTCATTAATCATCGACAAGTTCAAGCGATGTCATCAATCAACGTTGAATTTTTTATCATTACACAAATTATAGATAACCTACATATGATAAATACATCTAATGAGTATTTACTGGGAAGTTTTGACATTAACAGTGAAAGTTTAAATAGAATATATACATGGAGAAATAGAGTTGTACATTTTCATTATATATTATATATATAACATGCACAAATTAATAAGTAACTTAATAGTTATGAGGGAAAATATAGCTCTCTTATAACATGTGATTATTGATATTAGATAATCAAAAATGAAATGGTGGGGTGGACAATTGTTGTTTTTTTCTTTCGCAGTCACGAAATATATATCTACATAATCGTGTTTTTTGAAAGGAATGAAAAATGAAAGACAAGGAATTCGGAGAAGGTGGCATATTCCTCTGTGTAAGACAAAAAACTGGACAAACTGCTAATGTGTGAAATAATTTGCCATTTCCTTTAAAATCTTACTAATGCGCAAGCAATATTAAACTAATTTAAAGGTGTATATTTCGTTTTAAATGTCCACCTTCAGCAACAGATTTACGGAACATCTGGCCTATGCCCTTTTTCACTTTAAGAAAAAATAGATTGTATAAAATTGTAAATGTCAATAAAAACTAAATAAAAAAGGCAGGAAAGAGTATAGTAAAAATTCAATATACGTCGTTTTTCGTCGGGATCAGCCGTCTGGATGTCGTGTACTCGTATGGCGCGAATATTTGATGAATAATCAAGTTTTTTAAAATTCAACAACATGAAAGACGGAAAAAATGTGCTTACTATGGTGTTCGTGGACGTGGTTGTAAATACAAAATTTTAGGATTTTCAATTTACAAATTGTAGCATTGGCCATCGCAGACAAATAGCTTTCTTTGTAACTTATATCAAACATGGGAATTCAAGGACTTTTACCGTTATTAAAGTCTATACAACAACCGATTTGTCTTTCTGAGCTTACTGGAAGTACTGTGGGAGTTGATGTTTATTGCTGGCTACATAAAGGGGCGTATGGATGCGCTTTAGAACTGGCCGAAGGAAAAGATTCCGATTTGTAATAATCTGATTAAACTGTATAATATATTGTATAAAACTTTGAGTTATGGTAAACATTGGAAATGTGCTTATTCTAACGATGTGACACATTTGCAGATACATCAAATATGTGATGAGGAGAGTCAACCTGATGCTTTATTACAAAGTGACTCCGATTCTTGTGTTTGATGGAGGATATCTTCCTTCAAAAAGTGAGAAAGAGACAGAAAGAAGAGAGTAAGTCAACTGAAACAATTATCTTGATATGTGACATTTTTTATTGTTTTAATGGTTATTGATTCTATTCAGGAAAAGAAAGGAGTACAAATCACAAGGGCTTGCTCATCTCAAAAACGGCAATCGAACAAAAGCTGTTGAATGCTTTCAGAAATCTATTGACATCACTCCAGAAATGGCACTTAATGTCATGAAAGTTAGTGAATTAATCTATATCCATAAAAGATCAATAAATCTATATCTTGTGCACATTTATTTAATTGTCTGTCTTCTTTTGCAAACAGGTTTGTCGTGAGAAGTGTGTGGATTATATAGTAGCACCATATGAGGCTGATGCCCAGCTTGCATATTTAATGAAAGCCGGAATCACACAATGTACTATAAGTGAAGATTCAGATTTACTTGTGTATGAATGTGAGAAGGTGACGTAGTTATCTGGTTCTATAGATCAACATTTTATGCAATCCAAGAATTGTAATAGCGTACCCCTCTTCTTTCTCCACAATCCCGCTGGTTTTATTTTGGTTTGAAAATATTCTTTGCACGTCTTGATGCTTACAGGACATTGTCAACTTTTTCAAGGATGTATTTGTATTAACAATGCTTTGAAAATTCAAAAGTGGCCCTATATTTATGACATTTGAACTAATCAGTTGATATAACCAACTGTGGTTCAGGAGTATGAAGTGGCCAGAGCTCTAGCTAAAAATGTATGGTACTAAGACCTATTCTTTTTATTCTAGGTTATTTTTAAAATGGATGGAAATGGTTGTGGCTTGCTTGTCGATCTTAAGCAGCTATCTAAGCTCAAAAATGTGAGAATGGAATCTTTTACTCGACAAAAATTTCGTGAAATGTGCATACTTTCAGGTTGTGATTATCTTAATTCTGTGAAAGGAATGGGCTTAATCACAGCTCATAAAATGTTGAAAAAACACTCCACCATTGAAAAGGTACTTCAAATATGCCTTCATAAATGGCAGTCATCAGAGAATAGTATTAAAATATCAAAGGCTTTATCTCAAAGTTTCACTTTTATAAATCTGTTGCAGCTTATAAGTACACTCCGACTGAATACAAAGATGATTGTTCCAAAAGATTATGAAGAAAGATTCAAGAAAGCCGAGCAGACGTTTCTTTACCAAATTGTTTTTGACCCGAAAACAAACACGTTTGTGCCATTGAATCCCCTCCCCAAGGAATTAATTGCTTCTAATTTAATGTTTGCTGGTCAGTATCCTTTATTTCATGAGTTATTACACAGTATGATGGAATCTTGGAATAAAGGGTGGCGTAAGATTGATAATTGGAAGGTTATATTCATATATTTAAATGATATAATCCGTAAACACAATTGATTTTAATAGAAACTAATAAAGTAAAACATGCATACATGAATAATAGCCCCCCCCCCAATTGTCAATGTCCCACCGCCCTTGTTTTGAAGTAGATATCAACTTGTTCTGAGGCATGAATTTTCGTAAAAAGACAAATCAATTCTTCCTTGATTCCAAGTTAACAGTAATTTAAAATGGAAACAAGAAGAAGCGTTTGATGTAGCGATTGGTAACATAAATCCTCTTACTGGTCAACGAATTGCAAGTTTTAAACAAAGCAAAGTATGTTGTTTTTTATTAAGAAAACAAATGATATGCTGATTTTACAACAAAATAAATAAAATGTTTTCATTAAGGTTTTATTATTTGGAGAAAAACACCAGTCATTGACGATTGACGGTAAAAATTTAAAAAAGAAATCCATTCCAACAATTAAAACGTTTATTTGCCCTAAAGAGAAAAAATCCTGCTCAAAGTTCGCCATTGATGTAGCCCACTCTAAGATGACAACATATGATGTGGAAAAAAATTTGAACAGAGCTTATAGAGAGGAAATATCATCTGAGAAAGCAATGAGTACTTTTGTTACTCCTCTTGTGACAAAAACAAAATTTGTTAAATCAGGTTGGTTTGAACTGAGTTGAATAAAAAATTTCTTATCAACCTTAAAAAAGACCAAAGATGGGTTGGGAGATGGTTGAAAAACGTACGGAGATGGTTGAAGTATGGAGAGGTTAAAGTATAGAGGTATAGAGATGGTTGAAGTATGGAGAGGTTTGAAGTATGGAGAGGTTGAAGTATGGAGAGGTTTGAAGTATGGAGAGGTTGAAGTATGGAGAGGTTTAAACTATGGAGATGTTTGAAGTATGGAGATGGTTGAAGTATGGAGAGGTTTGAAGTATGGAGATGGTTGAAGTATGGAGAGGTTTGAAGTATGGAGAGGTTTGAAGTATGGAGATGGTTGAGTATGGAGAGGTTTAAAGAAAATGGAGAAGGTTTGAAATATGGAAGGTTTGAAAGTATAGAGTTTAAATAGAATGGTTAAGTGGAGAGGTTTGCTATGGAGAGGTTGAAATATGGAGAGTTTAGAAATATAGAGGTTTAGAGAAAGTATAAGAGAAGGTTTAAGTATAGAAGAGAGTTTGAAGTATAGAGGTTTAAGTATGGAAGAGTTAAATGGAAAGTTCCATGGAAGGTTTGAAATGGAGAAGGTTTGCTATAAGAGGTTTAGAAATATGGAGAGGTTTAAATGGAGAGGTTAAGAAGAATGGATTAAGTTGAAGTTAAGAAGTTGAATATGGTTAAGAGAAAATGGAGAGGTTAAATATGGAATGGATTAAGAAAATATGGAGAGTTTGTATGGGTTGAAATATGGAGAAGGTTAAATGGAGAGGTTAAAGTAGAGAAAGGTTGAGAAAGTAGAATAGTTGAAATATGGAAGGTTTAAGAGGTTGGTATGGAAGTGGTTGAAATATAGAAGTTTGCTCAGAAAGGTTAAATGAAGAGTTTGCTGGAAGTTTGAAAATATAGAAGGTTGAAGCATGGAAGGTTGAAAATATGGAGATAGTTGAATATGGAAAAGGTTTAGAAGTGTGGAGGTTTGAGTTCATGGAGAAGTTGAAAATGAAGAGGTTTTGAAGTAAATTCATGGAGAATGGTTATGGAAAAGTTTAACATGGAGAGGTTTGAATATGGAGATGGTTGAAGTATGGAGGGTTTAAATGGAGATGGTTGAAGTATGGAGAATGGTTAAATATGAAGAGTTTAAAGTATGGAGATGGTTGAAGTATGGAGAGGTTTGAAGTATGGAGATGGTTGAAGTATGGAGAGGTTTGAAGTATGGAGATGATTGAAGTATGGAGAGGTTAAAGTATAGAGATGGTTGAAGTGCACAGATGTTTTGCAGTATGGAGATGGTTGAAATGCAGAGATGCTTGAAAAACGGAGTTGGTTGAAATGCAGAAATGGTTTAAGCACAGATTTTGTTAAAGTAAGGACATGGTTAAAGTATGGAGATAGTTGAAGTAAGGACATGGTTGAAGTAAGGACATGGTTGAAGTAAGGACATGGTTGAAGTAAGGACATGGTTGAAGTAAAGAGATGGTTGAAGTGTGGAAGTGGTTAAGGTGTGGACGTGGGCGATGGTACTTTTTCACTTTACATTTCTTTGATTGTTTCTTTTCATACATAGAAATAAATGAAGTAAACGAGGAGAACTTGAAACTTGAAAGATTATATTCAACAAGTCAGGATGAATTAACTGTTGATGTGAACCATAATGTGAGTGAAGCGGGTTCAATATTTCGCATGAATGGTCAACCACAGCTGAAAATACGACGAAGCAATCCATTTAGAAGTCCAACGTATAAAATAAAGAAAGAGGAACAAGTCGTTAGTCGGTATTATATAAAATTCTACATTACAGTGTTTACGGATAAAACGACTTAATTTGACTTTTTTAAAAAGGTATTTTGGCTTGGCTGGGATGGAAACTGTACAGAATAAGCAAGCAAGCAATGATTCGATCGAAAGTGATACCGTGATGGTGATTAAGGAACTTACGAACACGAATGTTGAAAGTGAAAGTTGCGTCACTTCTCAGAGCTCTGAGGGTACAGAGTTTCAGGAATCCGGTTATTTTAGCGACAATGGAACACAGGAGAAGACACCGCTTGAAGAACCAGAAATAAAAAATAGTTCTAGCTTGAAAGAACTTTTGCCAAAAGACTTTCCTTCAACTTCTCACACCATGCCATCATCTACTTCGACAACGACATCTCCCAAAGATCCTGAAACACCAAAGAATAAAAATGGCGGAAAGAGGAAACGTTTGAGTGAGACGTCAATTTCAAATCAAATGTCTTTAGACAAGTTTGCTTTTAATAAAGAAACACTTTTGTCGCTTAATAAGAAAGATAAGTGTAATTCACCCAGAAAACTTTGTCTACCGACAAATTTCACAGCACTAATTGAGGAAGGAGTGGAGGAAGATCTTAAAGAAAACCAGGAGAACATATGTCAGTTATTTAAACAAGAAGACATGAAACGTGTCCGTGTGGATACTGAAGAATTTTACGATAAATCTTCACACGTTACAAAGGTAAAACAAGTAGCATTAAATACAAAACACGATCATGCAATAAATGATTTGTATGTTAAGGTTTGTACGTAGCGGTTATCTTTATATTTTTATAGATGAAAAAATCGTGTCCGAAAACTGAAATTGTAGGAAAACCGTCAAGGCTCCTTGGTTAGTAGAATGGTAGCTACTTTTCAAAACTTAACATAGCTAACATTCAATGTTTTATACAATAAGTAAACATGAACTTTCTTTCTTATTTTTTGACCAAACTAGGTCTGCGTACACAAACAACCAATGGCTTGGTTAGATGTCGAACTGTTGGTCTTAGTCGCCCAACTAAAGATACATCGAAGAAAAATAATAATGTGGCTCCTTCATTTAAATGCCTGTCATATCAAGGAAGGAACAAAGCCGTTTAAAATATAGCCGAACAAGCATTCAAGGATAGTATAAAAAGTTTTTTAAGCCTTCAGGCTTCAGTTCAAACGTTGAACTCGTCGTGTGCCGAATGCAATAAAGACAAAGGAATGAAATGTTTATTGCTTTAAGGCCTTTGTAATCTTTGTAGTGCATTTTGCGTATGAAAGTTCATCGTTAGGACTGAGTATTATTTTACGCCATAGAAGGTTTTATATAATTATAATTTTGACTAGAAATTTTTTTGATAAATCTACGTGAATTTTAATTCGATTTTGTCGCATAGAATCATTGGCGGCCCAAAAAATCACTTACAATAAATCAATACAAAGTTTGCAGGGCACGGTCTGTTACGATCGAATGGGGAGAGTTATCGTTTGTTTAAACTATTTAAGTGATGAGTCTATGATAGAGTTGTTAAACTGCGATAAAAGAGCGGAATAGCCAGAGAGCAGCATTTTGGTTTGTGAATGAGGGTCATAAGCATCATAAGTCCTTTTTGTGTCCTTGGAGGTCGAGTAACTCAAAGAATGCGCGAAGTGAAATCATGTTAGTAATATTCCGAAAAAAACACTAGTATAACATAAATCAGTAAACATATATTTTCATGTAAAAATGCAAACTTTTATGTTATATCAATGGTTATACTAGTGATTTTCCCGCTTTTATGTTTTCCTCTGGTCATTCTACGAATCTCTCCGGGCTTTTCCGGCGCGTTTTATTGGCGTGAATCACGAGATCACGACCACGAACGAGGTCATGTATGACACAACGAATGAGTATTGAAAAATATTAAAAGAAAACGCATAAAATATGGATGAAAAACCTCATCTTCGTTTTAATCCGTTGAAAGACGAGTGGGTTGTTGTATCGCCTCATCGAACAAAACGTCCATGGAAAGGACAAGTTGAAAAAACTGAAGAAACGACCATACCAAGAAGAGATTTAAATAATCCTCTTGTACCATCTGCAATTCGAGCAAGTGGGGTAAAGAATCCTGAATACAGCAGCGTTTACGTATTCAAAAACGACTTTCCAGCTTTGCTAGAGGAAAATGAAGATGATGCAAGTATTTTTAAAGATGAAGGTGAATTATTTCAAAGTGCACCTGCCCATGGTACTTGTAAGGTGTTGTGTTTTCATCCATGGTCAGATATGATATTACCCCTTATGGAAACAAGCGATGTAGTCAAAGTTGTACAAGAATGGATAAAGCAGTATATTGAATTGTCCAAGAAATATTGTTGGGTACAGGTGCTGTGATTATATTTAATTTGCAGATTGGTATCTTAATTTGGTTTTATTCTACCATTATTAAACATCATTAAATTCAAAATTTTTGTGTTTTAGATTTTCGAAAACCGTGGAGAAATAATGGGTTGTTCAAATCCACATCCTCACTGCCAAATCTGGGCGAGTTCTTTTCTTCCCAATGAACCATCAGTTAAAGATAAAACACAACAAGCATATTTCTTGAAACATGGAACTCCATTGTTGATGGATTATCTGAAGCAAGAGATTAAAAAGAAAGAACGCATTGTAATTGAGAACAACCATTGGCTAGCAGTTGTACCATACTGGGCAGTATGGCCATATGAAACCTTGCTATTACCAAAGAGACATATTTTACGCCTATCTGATTTAACAAATGATGAGCAAGTATCTTTGGCAACCATCATGAAACTTCTTGTTACAAAGTATGATAATTTATTCCACTGTGTATTCCCATACTCCATGGGTTGGCATGGTGCCCCTACATTAATGGATAATGACGATTGCTCCCATTGGCAACTCCATGCTCATTACTATCCACCTTTATTACGGTCTTCAACAGTGAAAAAGTTTTTGGTTGGTTATGAAATGTTGGCATCACCTCAACGAGATCTTACTGCTGAACATGCAGCTCAGAAACTAAGAGAACTTCCTGATGTACATTATAAACTTGTGATGAACAAAGAATGAAGATACAATGTTTTTAAGTATGTAAGGGCAAAAAGTAAAACAAAAATTTTTCTAATAAAATAATATTTTTTATTGAAAAGAACTTTTAAAAGTGATAATGGACTTGTTTTGTCTTATGTCTTTGCATTCTCAATGTATTGAAGTTTTGAGATGCCCACTTTATAGATTGACATTATTATTGCATAACGAGTTGCTGCAAATTTATAAATATTCTTAAGTATCTCACTCAACTTTTGGATGAAATACGCTTGCAGAATTGTATGCCACTTTACAACAGCAGGAAGTCTGTCTGTTTATTGTATCTTATGAGCAAATCTTTTTAATATTACAAATTATCATTATGTAAAGTGACATCACTTTCTGTATAAATTGAATATCACAATATCTTGAGAATGGAAGAAGCTAAACTGTTTTAGATAGTTCACTGTCATTTTAACTGTTCAATAAAAATGTAATTACATAATTTGCAAATTTTTTTATTGAACCTTTAATGTATAATTTGATTCTCCTTTTACAAGATGAAACATATGAATTAATCATAAGCATGCATGATGGGAGTCATGTTCTTGCAGGTGGCTGTGTATAGCTCAGTTGTAAGTGAAGCCTTTTATTATAAATTGGTTGCAAAACTCATTCCACCCACACCCTTCCCCCACCAATTACCTCCACCCACCCTTCCCCCACCAATTACCTCCACCCCTCCTTCCCCCAACAATAACAGTCTTTGCATTAAAATACTTATTCATTCGGTAGAATGACAATTTCATGATTTGTATTTAGGGTAAATTGTCAGATTTATTTATTATTTTTGTTGAAATGATGTAAAGTGTAATATTTTGAATAAATAACTAACCAGTATGAATCCATTAATTTTAGAAAATCTGTTGAAATCAAACCAAAAGTGTGATGAGAAACTACAGCAGGTTTGAATAATGGATAGTGTATTTTCTAAGCCACAATACTGGAAAAATCACTGTAGTATAACATTTTTTTCAATTTAGGAAATTTTTATGGAGATATCAGAAGGTGTGAGCTATTGGAGAATCTTTCAAGTCACAAAATTTGATTCTGACTAAAATTTCTGCTATGAAGAGAGCATCTCTAAACAAGTACAGTACCAATGTTCGCTTATGACGTGCTCTTAAATGCATAATTTTTGCATATTCCTTTCTGTATCCTGCAGCTGAGTACGTTAAATGTATTTTTCAAGGAGCAATATTTCTATTTTGCGTAGGTACATAAAATACTACTTTCGAAATCTTTAAATTGCCCCTTATTACCAATATTGTTTGATCTGGGCTGATTTTGTATTTATCTGTTATAACCAAGCCTTTTTGATATAATTTCATTTATTGCGCAAAAGGTACCCATAGCTGCTTTTCTTCCGAAGTAAAAACCACTGACTGCTAGGAAATTCAAGTATGTGTGTAAGAATTATCATTTAATAATTACTTGCTAAATCTTCAATATATACAAATTGAAAGTGCTGGAAACTTGAATTGTATTTTGAAAATATGATGAAATTGCTCGCTTGACTCTAATGCATAACATTATAAAATGAATTGATCTTTTCTTTTTCACCTCGACTAACGAACTACAAGATGTTAAAAATCGACTCAAACCATCGTTTTTTGAAACTACCAAAGCTTGGTGTACGGAAATCAAATTATCAGCCCACTACTTTACTTGATCAAAATTATAAAAATGGAGCAGTTAAGTCAGTTACATTATGTGGGTTGAAGATGAGTAGGATCGTAAAACAAGGGCGATAAAAACATTTTGTTGTGACCGGAAGAAAATATTGTGTGAAAATTTTTGTGAAAATGAAAAGTTTGTGAGAGAAAAGGAAGTAGAAAGACGACAAACGAAAATATATTTAATCTCTTTTCTGTAAATTCTGATCAATGCATAAATTATTTTTGTAATTATTCAAATAAGAAGCATCTTTCACCTGTTTTCAACACTATCTTACAATTTGAAATCAAAACCTGTTTTTGTTGTTTACGGAGGAAATGGGCATTTGAAAAAGAAATTATTCTTTTATGTCATAATTATATTGCACTTTGCCGCATTGGCAACAACAGTGACGAGAAAAGTCATTTTCCGACAGATCTAAGTGCGTCTAAACGATATTGGAAGGACCTATTTAGCCACCGGGAGAAAAGATCAGAAAGACAGTTGATATTTTTCATTAAATTAAAAGTCGTTAAAAGGCTGCGCCTAGTCGTTTAAAACCGATGTGCTCCAAAAAGAATTGCGCGTACACTTTCTTAATTTTTGGACTAGTTTTTTGTATCATTGCTCTTGTCTGTGGTTTTGTTATTCCAAAAATTATCATTTCCATTTTGGATGAACGTTCATGCGTCAACTCTAAAAAGGACTCCAACTACGAAGACCTGGTAAGATTTAATAAAATTTCGTTCAAATAAAAGCTATTGCGAGTAGTTTTAAGTTATAAGATCAATACCATTAATTATCATTTTATATAACTCTATAAGTTATAAACTCTTGTTAAGTTTAAACCGCTTCTTCTCATTCATTATGTGAACTTTTTGAAGTTGAGTATCGTTATAACATTGAAATGCTTGTTATGGTGTTATGAAAACATAAAATAAATTTCGTTTGATTTCTCTGTTTCATTACTGAAATAGCTTTTGTTGAAATTTTCCTGTAATATGAGATTAATAAAAAATATATTGTACGATTCAAATACATTAAAAGTGCTTCATAGAACTCTTGATTTAAAATCTTTAACTTAATAGAAAGTGTTCCGACTTTGCATTTTCTCAAAATTAGGCTTATATCTCTTGTAAAATTTACATTACGGGCGGAATGTAAGTCTAGGAAAATTGGATTTAACGTGATTGTAAAGAAGGAAAAACATTAAAACAAAGATAATGTTTTGAAAACCCACTGTTTGTTCTGGCATTTTGAGAATAAGGTCCATAAGTCTATGAGTAATTTAAAACCTTATGGAACATATGTAGTCATATATATTGTGTTCATTTTTACAGCTGTTGAAATTTAAATATATGCATATGGATATTTCTAATTAAAAGAGCATTTTCAAACCTTACATATCTACATGAAATTGTCAAAGGCACGTACTAAACACCGTCTACAGATTCACTGTCTTTTATTGACAAAACATATGTTCAAACTCAATGAAATTGCTAGGGCAGAGTTTAAATTAACAGTTTTTTCTAACTATTGATATTTTGTTAGTTGCAACCATAGTATGTATTTTACATGAAAGTTAAGTAAACTAGCACTAGTTCGTTGCTAGCTTGTCAAAGGATTATGTGTTTGCATTTAAAAGATTATCGCCACTTTTTCCAAATGTACTATGAACAAGAAAAATGGTGTGAAATTTTGTCTCTGTACATACACAAAAGAGATGGAACTATTTTTGATTATAATTGCAACACTAGAACACATTTAAGTTCATCCTGTATGACGCAGTGAAAACCTTGCCCATCAACATTAAAATGACTTCATTTTATCATTTTTTAAAAGGTGAAAGAAAAAACGGATGCAATCATCACGAAGCTTTACTACTGGGAAATAACGAACAAAAACGAATTTCTTTATCAAGGTCAACTTCCAAAAGTGGGTGGATATATTTTTTGATATCATGTATATAGCTTAACGATTGAGTTGTGATATATACATGAACAAGATAGCCTCTGTCACAGCTGTCACTTTTTGCTATTTATTGAAACTGACGGAGATAATATATATTGATAATTGTTGTCTTTTTATCATTGACGTAAGTGATAAACTTAAATTGGTTTTGATGACGTTTTTCGCGATAATACACTGGGTAAATTTGCACAAAAAGTCCATTGTGCATTGATTCCAACGAACCGAATATTTTTCATAGAGAGAGAACATGTCCATTACCCACCCCTCCTCCCCAACAGTTTTTCTGTCCATTTGTCATGCACATGGCTGTTTTTATTTAGTTGAAGGAAAGAGGTCCATATGTGTACAAACAGAATGCGCAGATGATTAATGTGAAGTTCAATAATAGTCAACGATCGTGGAAAACTTGGAGAAAATGCGCGAAATTTGATGAAGACAAATCTTGTTTTGACTGCAAAGAGGATGATAAAGTATGTCTATCATTTGACTCTACAATATGATGTTTTTCGACAAATAATAAAATGACCTTGGGGAGGTTAAGTTTTCATTTGGTGATTTCATTTCCATATCTTTGTCTGTCTGTCCGATTGACTGTTAAGGTGCAGTGTCTTAGCCTGTTTCACACTCTTTGTCCATTTTCCCATTTCAACGGTTTTCGTCTTCTGCTTTTTTTCCCTTTAGTCTGTTCTTGTCACATCTGTCTTACTGTAACTACCTTCTATGTATTTTTTGCAGAAAATAACACACCAACTAAGGTTGTCGTAAACGGCTCTTACCATTTTCTTGTTGTTATTCTTCGTTTTATTTCTTCATAATTTAGCTTATTTTCTTACATCATGTGTGTTGTCACATGTCTCTCTCGTGTTCAGGAAGTGCTAACCTCCCAACATCAGATTTCAACCCTGTAAATAAGTTGTTCGCCCATCTGAGAAATATTTTAAGTCTCAAAAATTTTCATCGAAACAAATCATTAATACAGTTTGATTCAAATAGCAATCTCTGGAGAATTATTGATACAAAACAGTTGATTATGATGACAATTCATGGCATCTTATACGCTGTCTGTTTTATAAGGAATTGTGAATAACTACACTTAAGTCATTCAATGTACATTTGAAGCAGTAAATCTTTTTCAAACTGTATAATCAGGTTAGTAACAATAAATATATGCATAATAAATCTTTTCTTCATTTGTTTAATAGATAACGCTTTTGAATTTGGGTTACATAGCAACGATGAAGGCTTTAGGTGGTGATGAGCAGTTTGCATTGTCTTATTTATCAAGAACAATAAAATACATACTGAACAAGTTCAATCATTCCTATGTTGATCTTGGAAATATACAGCAAACTATTTGGCTGTCGGAATTCAAAAGTCCCGGATTTGCTCAGTGGTTACACAGTACCCATCCACAACTAAACCAAACAAACTTTACTAGCGTCGAGATGAAAGGTTTATATGGTGTTTTGGGTAGCAATATCGAAATGTTTGGCAGCACTATGACGAATATGACCCTAAAAGGCGAGTGTAATGACAACGCGGCTCGCTACGAGTGTGGATTCCTAATGCACATGACTGCCCAGTTAAAGCTTCAAGCACAAAATAAAACCAACTCGAATTTGCTGAAATTAATAGAAGATCGTTTGTGTCGTCAGGAAACAAATCAAACCAAGTGCTTTCGACAGATCAACTTACTTTCTTACATTTTTCTATATGTGAATCATGTGAACTCGTTGACAATAAAGTTGTTTATCGAAGATAAGTACGACATTGTAACGACAAAGACACAAAAGGAAATAGCAATTGGTTATAGGATGAAAAACATTATCAATCCACTCACTAGACGTGAAGTTGAGGTCCCAGGTTTAATTACTGTTCACAAAAAAGAAAATGATGCGTTAAAATATGGAAAAGAGTCAACGATTTACACTTGTAATGCTGGGGATGGCAAGAAACATCAATGGGCAGGTAAATCAAATCGTTTTTTCATTTAAATTCGTTACAATTAAACGGAAAGACAATGTCGCCAAAGGCTCAGATTCAGAACACCTGTATGTGCTGATGCTTTGCCCATGTAGAAGATTTTCAAGACATGTAGTGACTGCAGACAATAAAGGACGTAAGATAAAACGTCAGACATACAATGACGTAAGACAAGACGTCAGACATACAATGATGTAAGACATGAAATGACGTCAGATATGCAATGAGCTCGGTTATGAAAGTACATCAGACAGAGATAAAACATTTAATTGCACGAAAATAATTGGTCAAAAATTTTGTGTAAATGAGGGGAGGTAGGGAGCATCGTAGAGATTTTGAGTAACAATTCGACAATCGTATTATGTTTTCTGCATAATGTATGCATAATGTATGCATAATGTATGCGTAATGTATGCGTTAGTTAACCAAAGTGTAAACATACGTGCTTGCATACTATAACGTGAGAATCTGACATTAATTAGATATGTACAGTGAAAATAGACCTATAAAATACATACGCATTTACAGCAATTTTCCAATTTTAGTGCAAAGTGAGAGGGGCAACCACCCTTTGTCAAGAAAAGTGAGGGTCGTAACCTCCCCTGTCCTCGAGTCTGACTCTTGGACGTTCGAATGTTAATAAATAATTAATGGTTGATGATTTTTAATATTTTAGCATTCGATGGCAAGCGTTACGTCACTGGGATACCAGGCGTCACGCAAGATGAAGCTGAAGTACGCGGTTACTCTTATATTCTTCCTCGTTCAAAAAACACGGATAAACCTTGTGCATTTTCACATGATCTTGATTACAAGAGCATCGAAATGTTCGTCAGTCAAATAAGAATGCGTCTTAAGTTGGATTACCAAAGCGAAGAAACATTTTACGGTTTAGAACTAAAGAGATTTATCCCCAACAAAGAACAGTATTTAGGTCATAGTTTGGTTAAAAATGGTTTCATGGATGGCTCAACTCGATTAAGAATGCCAAGCTATTTTTCGTTACCACATATGCTGTTTACCAATATTACCTCTCCATCATCCTTTAATCAACATCCTGATAAAGGGAAACACCAACACAATGTAAGATCAACTGATATTTTATCAAAACTGTCCATCAAAATTAAGTTATCAATTACCAATGGCAACAATCGCCTTTTCTAGCCGTCTGGTGTTGAAAAAGTTAACCAGGCTTTGATTCTGTCATCTCGAAATGAGAAACCCGATTTTTCACGTTGACTTTAATATCCGTCTCCTGAGATAGTTACTTGACAAAACGTACTTGATGAGATAGTTACTTGACAAAATTTTTACACAACAAAACTCCCATGTGTATACATAAAATATGATGTTACTTTATTTATTGCAGATGGATATTGAACCAGTGAGTGGCTTAATAGCCAGAGCTTTTATCCGTCTCCAAATTAATATTCCCATTCAACCTGAGATCGTGAAGGTGTCACGTGTCAATGGTTCATTCAATATTAGTTATATGTCCCATGTCAATGATACACTTTATATGAAGAGTATTCCAGTTCTATGGGCAGCGTACGGTACAGAATTGAAAAAAAGTGATGCAGACATTTTGAGAAAGAAGGTAAGAAATCATCATGGTTAATTGAAAATACAAATTTGATAAAACTTTAATAAATATACATGAAACGGGGCACTTTCCTATTTGTTCATCGAGTCATTCACAAATTATCTGAGATATTTAAATAAGAGGTTTTTAATGCGTCACCGTAATGAAGTTGATTGATTAAGTTAGTTAAGTGCAAAGAAATTTCGACAATGACCACTGTCATGAAGTTTAAAACTTCAGTCACTTTGACCATCATCATCAACTATAAATGACCACTGTCATGAAGTTCTTGAAAATTCTTGAACTATAGTCTTTTGCATGAAAAATCGTGAACTATAGTCTTTTGCATGAAAAATCGTGAACTATAGTCTTTTGCATGAAAAATCGTGAACTATAGTCTTTGTGTGAGAAAATGTGAAAATTTGTGAAAATGCTTGAACTCTAGTCTTTATGTGAGAAAATTTGTGAAAATGGGTGAACTATAGTCTTTGTGTGAGAAAATGTGAAAATTTGTGAAAATGCGTGAACTATAGTCTTTGTGTGAGAAAATGTGAAAATTTGTGAAAATGCATGAACTATAGTCTTTGTGTGAGAAAATGTGAAAATTTGTGAAAATGCATGAACTATAGTCTTTGTGTGAGAAAATAACAAAATTTGTGAAAATGCATGAACTATAGTCTTTGTGTGAGAAAATAAGAAAATTTGTGAAAATGCGTGAATTATGAAGTCATGAAGTTTAAAACTTCAGTCACTTTAACCATCATCATCAACTGTCAATGACCACTGTCATGAAGTTTAAAACTTCAGTCACTTTAACCATCATCATCAACTGTCAATGACCACTGTCATGAAGTTTAAAACTTCAGTCACTTTAACCATCATCATCAACTGTCAATGACCACTGTCATGAAGTTCAAAACTTCAGTCACTTTAACCATCATCATCAACTGTCAATGACCACTGTCATGAAGTTTAAAACTTCAGTCACTTTAACCATCATCATTAACTGTCAATGACCACTGTCATGAAGTTCAAAACTTCAGTCACTTTAACCATCATCATCAACTGTCAATGACCACTGTCATGAAGTTTAAAACTTCAGTCACTTTAACCATCATCATCAACTGTAAATGACCACTGTCATGAAGTTTAAAACTTCAGTAACTTTAACCATCATCATCAACTGTCAATGACCACTGTCATGAAGTTCAAAACTTCAGTCACTTTAACCATCATCATTAACTGTCAATGACCACTGTCATGAAGTTTAAAACTTCAGTCACTTTAACCATCATCATCAACTGTCAATGACCACTGTCATGAAGTTTAAAACTTCAGTCACTTTAACCATCATCATCAACTGTCAATGACCACTGTCATGAAGTTCAAAACTTCAGTCACTTTAACCATCATCATCAACTGTCAATGACCACTGTCATGAAGTTTAAAACGTCAGTCACTTTAACCATCATCATCAACTGTCAATGACCACTGTCATTAAGTTTAAAACTTCAGTCACTTTAACCATCATCATCAACTGTCAATGACCACTGTCATGAAGTTCAAAACTTCAGTCACTTTAACCATCATCATCAACTGTCAATGACCACTGTCATGAAGTTCAAAACTTCAGTCACTTTAACCATCATCATCAACTGTCAATGACCACTGTCATGAAGTTTAAAACTTCAGTCGCTTTAACCATCATCATCAACTGTCAATGACCACTGTCATGAAGTTTAAAACTTCAGTCACTTTAACCATCATCATCAACTGTCAATGACCACTGTCAAAAAGTTCAAAACTTCTGTCACTTTAACCATCATCATCAACTGTCAATGACCACTGTCATTAAGTTTAAAACTTCAGTCACTTTAACCATCATCATTAACTGTCAATGACCACTGTCATGAAGTTTAAAACTTCAGTCACTTTAACCATCATCATCAACTGTCAATGACCACTGTCAAAAAGCTCAAAACTTCAGTCACTTTAACCATCATCATCAACTGTCAATGACCACTGTCATGAAGTTTGAAACTTCAGTCACTTTAACCATCATCATCAACTGTCAATGACCACTGTCATTAAGTTTAAAACTTCAGTCACTTTAACCATCATCATCAACTGTCAATGACCACTGTCGTGAAGTTTAAAACTTCAGTCACTTTAACCATCATCATCAACTGTCTGTCAATGACCACTGTCATGAAGTTTAAAACTTCAGTCACTTTAACTGTCATCATCAACTGTCAATGACCACTGTCAAAAAGTTCAAAACTTCAGTCACTTTAACTATCATCATCAACTGTCAATGACCACTGTCAAAAAGTTCAAAACTTCAGTCACTTTAACCATCATCATCAACTGTCAATGACCACTGTCATGAAGCTTAAAACTTCAGTCACTTTAACCATCATCATCAACTGTCAATGACCACTGTCAAAAAGTTCAAAACTTCAGTCACTTTAACTATCATCATCAACTGTCAATGACCACTGTCAAAAAGTTCAAAACTTCAGTCACTTTAACCATCATCATCAACTGTCAATGACCACTGTCATGAAGCTTAAAACTTCAGTCACTTTAACCATCATCATCAACTGTCAATGACCACTGTCAAAAAGTTCAAAACTTCAGTCACTTTAACCATCATCATCAACTGTAAATGACCACTGTCATGAAGTTTAAAACTTCAGTAACTTTAACCATCATCATCAACTGTCAATGACCACTGTCATGAAGTTTAAAACTTCAGTCACTTTAACCATCATCATCAACTGTCTGTCAATGACCACTGTCATGAAGTTTAAAACTTCAGTCACTTTAACTGTCATCATCAACTGTCAATGACCACTGTCAAAAAGTTCAAAACTTCAGTCACTTTAACTATCATCATCAACTGTCAATGACCACTGTCAAAAAGTTCAAAACTTCAGTCACTTTAACCATCATCATCAACTGTCAATGACCACTGTCATGAAGCTTAAAACTTCAGTCACTTTAACCATCATCATCAACTGTCAATGACCACTGTCAAAAAGTTCAAAACTTCAGTCACTTTAACTATCATCATCAACTGTCAATGACCACTGTCAAAAAGTTCAAAACTTCAGTCACTTTAACCATCATCATCAACTGTCAATGACCACTGTCATGAAGTTTAAAACTTCAGTCACTTTAACTGTCATCATCAACTGTCAATGACCACTGTCATTAAGTAATACAAGATGTACTACATATGTGAAACAATATAAGTCATAAGCATGGTGATTTATTGGTTTAGTAAACAAAATTTCTCTCACGTCATAACACTTTTTTCAAAGATAATTTTTTGAAGATATAGCAAAAAATAGTTTTCAGCGACAAGGATTATAAATTAAACGTTAAAGTTGTGAGAAATCTTTTCTACTTTTAACCCGTGACATGCAATCTCAGGAACGGGCTTACAAAAGGGTTTGACAGTTGGTGTAAAGACTTAGAAAGGGTCATTTGACTGAACATTTAGCACAAATTGCGAATAAGTTTGATGTAAATATATTTGAACTATGTTCATTAACCTATTTCTTTTCGTGGCCATATACTCAAGTCACGTAACAGTTTACCCTCGTGTATCCAGCGTACCTATTTTTATTGTTTTGTAGGTCATAGGAATTCTTGGCTTGGCTTGTGGCATACTCATTTCATTGTCAATATTCAGTATAATATTCATTATTGTTGGGATCATTCTCTATGTTCTCACTGTAAAGGCAAATCGAATTTCGGAAATGACAACTGGTTTGAAATGATTATAAACTGTCTACAATATATCCATTTAAAATTATGAACAATATTGACAGTTAAATTTTGCTTTAAGGAACAATATTTTAATGAATTTCACTAGTATAAATGAGCATTTATTCACATTGTGAATCATTCTTATCATCGTGTTCAAAAAACCATTTTTGTAAATATATGTAATATTTTAATCAATTAGTTCGTAGCAACCCACACTAAGGTAAACAGTGATGATTTAGTTGGTATTTTTACTTAACATACCTAAAAGAAAAAGTTTAAATATTCAAATAAAGGCAACGTTGTCTAATCAAGCCAAAATAGATTCTTTCTTTAGATTTCATTTCGTACACTATAACGAACACAGGTACACATAAAGATACACATAAAGGTAGACATGAAGGTAGACATAAAGATGGCCATGAAGGTTGACGCAGGGGTAGTAAAAACAAAGGTATTCAGATACATAGAAACAAAAGCAGTTTTTCAAAATGCAGGAATTATAGTATTTGTATGAAAATATGTGGAAATTTGTGTGAAAATGCATGAACTATAGTCTTTGGCATAAAAATGCATGAAAATGCATGAACTATAGTCTTTGGCATGAAAATGCGTGAAAATGCTTGAACTATAGTCTTTGGCATGAAAATGTGTGAAAAGGCTTGAACTATAGACTTTGGCATAAAAATGTGTGAAAGTGCAAGAACTATAGTCTTTAGCATGAAAATGCATGAAAATACATGAACAATAGTCTTTGGAATTAAAATGCTTGAACTATAGTCTTTGGCATGAAAATGTGTGAAAATGCTTGAACTATTGACTTTGGCATGAAAATGTGTGATAATGCATGAGCTATAGACTTTGGCATGAAAATGCGTGAACTATAGTGTTTGGCAAGAAAATGCGTGAAAATGCTTGACTATAGTCTTTGGCATAAAAATGTGTAAAAATGCGTGAACTATAAACTTTACCATGAAAATATGTGAATATGCATGAACTATAGTCTTTGGCATAAAAATGCGTGAACTATATAGTCTTTGGCATGAACAATAGTGAACTATAGTGTTTTGCATAAAAAATCGTGACTTATACTCTTTTACATGAAAATCATGAATTATAGTCTTTTACATGAAAAATCGTGAACTATAATCTTTTGCATGAAAAATCGTGAATTATAGTCTTTTGCATGAAAAACCGTGAACTATAGTCTTTATGAAAATTGTGAACTATAGTCTTTGCATGAAAATCGTGAATTATAGTCTTTGCATGAAAATGCGTGAATTATAGTCTTTGCATGAAAATCGTGAACTATAGTCTTTACATGAAAATCGTGAATTATAGTGTTTTGCATGAAAAATCGTGAACTATAGTCTTTGCATGAAAAGCGTGAACTATACTCTTTGCATGAAAATGGTGAACTATAGTCTTTGCATGAAAAAGCGTGAAATATAGTCTTTTACATGAAAATCGTGAATTATAGTGTTTTGCATGAAAAATCGTGAACTATAATCTTTTGCATGAAAATCGTGAACTATAAATTTTGCACGAAAATCGTGAACTATAATCTTTTGCATGAAAATCGTGAACTATAAATTTTGCATGAAAATCGTGAATTATAGTCGTTTGCATGAAAAACCGTGAACTATAGTCTTTTACATGTAAATCGTGAACTATAGTCTTTTGCATGAAAAATCATGAACTATAGTCTTTTACATGAAAATCGTGAATGATAGTCTTTTACATGAAAATCGTGAATTATAGTCTTTACATGAAAAATCGTGAACTATAATCTTTGCATGAAAATCGTGAATTATAGTCTTTGCATGAAAATCGTGAATTAAAGTCTTTTGCATGAAAATCGTGAACTATAGTCTTTTGCATGAAAAATCGTGAATCATAGTCTTTTGCATGAAAATCGTCTTTGCACGAAAATTCTGAACTATAGTCTTTGCATGAAAATAGTCTTTTGCATGAAAATCGTGAATTAAAGTCTTTGCATGAAAATCGTGAACTATAGTCTTTGCATAAAAAGCGTGAACTATAGTCTTTACATGAAAATCGTGAATGATAGTCTTTACATGAAAATCGTGAATTATAGTCTTTGCGTCAAAATCGTTGACTATAGTCTTTGCATGAAAATCATGAACTATAGTCTTTGCATGAAAAATCATGAACTATAGTCTTTGCATGAAAAGCGTGAACTATAGTCTTTTACATGATAATCGTGAATGATAGTCTTTTACATGAAAATCGTGAATTATAGTCTTTTACATGAAAAATCGTGAACTATAATCTTTTGCATGAAAAATCGTGAATTATAGTCTTTTGCATGAAAAACCGTCAACTATAGTCTTTACATGAAAATTGTGAACTATAGTCTTTGCATGAAAATCGTGAATTATAGTCTTTTGCATGAAAAATCGTGAACTATAGTCTTTTGCATGAAAATGTGAATTATAGACTTTGCATGAAAATCGTGAACTATAGTCTTTACATGAAAATCGTGAATTATAGTGTTTTGCATGAAAATCGTGAACTATAGTCTTTGCATGAAAAATCGTGAACTATAATCTTTGAATGAAAATCGTGAATTATAGTCTTTTGCATGAAAACCGTGAATTATAGTCTTTGGATGAAAAACCGTGAACTATAGTCTTTGCATGAAAACCGTGAACTATAGTCTTTGCATGAAAACCGTGAACTATAGTCTTTACATGAAAATCGTGAATTATAGTGTTTTGCATGAAAATCGTGAACTATAGTCTTTGCATGAAAAGCGTGAACTATAGTCTTTGCATGAAAATGGTGAACTATAGTCTTTGCATGAAAAGCGTGAAATATAGTCTTTTACATGAAAATCGTGAATTATAGTGTTTTGCATGAAAAATCGTGAACTATAGTCTTTTTGCATGAAAAATCGTGAACTATAGTCTTTTGCATGAAAAATCGTGAACTATAATCTTTTGCATGAAAATCGTGAACTATAAATTTTGCACGAAAATCGTGAACTATAATCTTTTGCATGAAAATCGTGAACTATAAATTTTGCATGAAAATCGTGAATTATAGTCGTTTGCATGAAAAACCGTGAATTATAGTCTTTTGGATGAAAAACCGTGAACTATAGTCTTTTGCATGAAAAACCGTGAACTATAGTCTTTTGCATGAAAAACCGTGAGCTATAGTCTTTTACATGAAAATCGTGAATTATAGTGTTTTGCATGAAAAATCGTGAACTATGGTCTTTTGCATGAAAAATCGTGAACTAAAATCTTTTGCATGAAAATCGTGAATTATAGTCTTATGAATGAAAAATCGTGAACTATAGTCTTTTGCATGAAAAATCATGAACTATAGTCTTTTGCATGAAAAATCGTGAACTATAATCTTTTGCATTAAAATCGTGAATTATAGTCTTATGAATGAAAAATCGTGAACTATAGTCTTTTGCATGAAAAATCGTGAATTATAGTCTTTTTGCATGAAAAATCGTCTTTTGCACGAAAATTCTTGAACTATAGTCTTTTGCATGAAAATAGTCTTTTGCATTAAAAATCGTGAATTATAGTCTTTTGCATGAAAAACCGTCAACTATAGTCTTTTACATGAAAATTGTGAACTATAGTCTTTTGCATTAAAAATCGTGACTTACAGTCTTTTACATGAAAAATCGTGAATTATAGTCTTTTGCATGAAAAATCGTGAACTATAGTCTTTTACTTCACGTGAAAATGCATGAACTATAGTCTTTGGTATGAGAATATGTGAAAATGAAGAAACTATAGTCTTTAGCATGAAAATGCATGAAAATGCCTGAAAATACATAAACAATAGTCTTTGGCATAAAAATGTGTAAAAATCCGTGAACTATAAACTTTAGCATGAAAATATGTGAATATGCATGAACTATAGTCTTTGGCATAAAAATGCGTGAACTATATAGTCTTTTGCATGAAAAATCGTGAACTATAGTCTTTTGCATGAAAAATCATGAACTATAGTCTTTTACATGAAAATCGTGAATTATAGTCTTTTACATGAAAATCGAGAATTATAATCTTTTACATGAAAAATCGTGAATTACAGTCTTTTGCATGAAAAATCATGAACTATAGTCTTTTACATGAAAATCGTGAATTATAGTCTTTTACATGAAAATCGAGAATTATAGTCTTTTACATGAAAAATCGTGAATTACAGTCTTTTGCATGAACATTCGTGAACTATAGTCTTTGTGTGAGAAAATGTGAAAATTTGTGAAAATGCATGAACTATAGTCTTTGTGTGAGAAAATGTGAAAATTTGTGAAAAAGCATGAACTATAGTCTTTGTGTGAGAAAATAAGAAAATTTGTGAAAATGCGTAAACTATAGTCTTTGTGTGAGAAAATGTGAAAATTTGTGAAAATGCATGAACTATAGTCTTTTTTGTGAAAAAATGTGAAAATTTGTGAAAATGCGTGAGTTATAGTCTTTGTGTGAGAAAATGTGAAAATTTGTGAAAATGCGTGAATTATAGTCTTTATGTGAGAAAATGTGAAAATTGTGAAAATGCGTAATGTATAATCTTTGTGAGAAAAATGTAAAAATTTGTGAAAATGTCATGAACTATAGTCTTTTGTGTGAAAATGTGAAAATTTGTGAAAATGCATGAACTATAGTCTTTGTTTGAGAAATGTGAATTGTGAAAATGCATGAACTATAGTCTTTGTGTGAGAAAATGTGAAAATTTGTGAAAATGCATGAACTATAGTCTTTGTGTGTGAAAATTGTGAAAATGCATGAACTATAGTCTTTGTGTGAGAAAATGAAAAAATTTGTGAAAATGCATGAACTATAGTCTTTGTGTGAGAAAATGTGAAAATTTGTGAAAATGCATGAACTATAGTCTTTGTGTGAGAAAATGTGAAAATTTGTGAAAATGCATGAACTATAGTCTTTGTGTGAGAAAATGTGAAAATTTGTGAAAATGCATGAACTATAGTCTTTGTGTGAGAAAATGTGAAAATTTGTGAAAATGCATGAACTATAGTCTTTGTGTGAAAATGTGAAAATTGTGAAAATGCATGAACTATAGTCTTTGTGTGAGAAAATGAAAATTTGAAAATGCATGAACTATAGTCTTTGTGTGAGAAAATGTGAAAATTTGTGAAAATGCATGAACTATAGTCTTTGTGTGAGAAAATGTAAAAATTTGTGAAAATGCATGAACTATAGTCTTTGTGTGAAAATGTAAAATTTGTGAAAATGCATGAACTATAGTCTTTGTGTGAGAAAATGTGAAAATTTGTGAAAATGCATGAACTATAGTCTTTGTGTGAG